GCGTGGTCGGCGGGGCCGGGGCCGGGGGGGGCGGCCGGGGCTCAGGGAGGACCCGCGGCCCGACGGGTATTGGGCGCTGAGGAAGGAGAGCAGACGCCCGCTGCGGTACGCCGCCCCTTGGGGCTCCGAGGTCGTCACGTGGGGGTTCCTCGAGCGCCGCAGCGACAGCCGCTCGCCCGAGAAGTAGCGGGGGTTGTAGTAGGGCGACATCCGGGTAAGAATGTCAGCACGTAGGTCAAACCGGTCGAACCTGGTGGTCGTGGACAGGGTCGGGGTGTGCAAACCCGGAGGACCCCTACGCAAAAGAGACGTCGGCGTCTTCGGGTTGGAAGGACGCTGAAAAATTCGGTCGTTCTGAGCTTCGTGGGGGACTGGGGAATCCATACGGGTGGCGAGCCCTTCCCCAATTGAGTTGACGTCGCTAGCGTTGCGGGTGTAATCTTTGGAAGAAAACTCATTTTGCCACTGGCTATGCTGCACGGCTTCTCCGAGGCTCGAAGTTTTACAGCGAGAGCTGCTATTGGTATCTTTCATCCTCCGCCGCTGCATCACCTGCGAGCGAATCGCACGACATAAGACAGCGATGGTGGAATTCATCAAGTTCGGAGGATGCTCCACATTCGATGTGGTGATGTCTTCCCCCCCGAACTGAAGGTCAACAAGGCCACGGACTTCGCCAATGGAGCCCGGGCTATTAAGAAGGTTGTTAACGCCGTCGCTGCTATGTTGATGAGAATTCGGTCCCCTCGATGGGAGCATTTTGAAACACAACTCTCCGCTTCCGTCGTGTGGGTGCCCTTTGTGGATGTCTTCGGCCGACGTCTTCGGTACATCAAAAGCAGTGCCTACAATCCATAAGAAGTCTGATAAGCTCAATCCATTGGTCAAAGCATGGTCTACATCAATGCCTTGAACAGAAGAGATATCTAGAGTGAGATCAAATTTCTGGAGTACCTCTTGAAGGAAGGGAATCGGAAGGCACCCCTTAACATTCTCAAGTCCCTTAAACGTCGCACGAGCCATGGTTTTCCAATCAATTGATGCCATCATTTTTGAGTGTTGTTTAATTGAAGCATTATCCTCAACGCCTCGAGGGGGCCGTGGGGCTGCTAACGACGGCGATGAAGTCCGTGCTGAGGTGGTCGGGTTACGTTGTTCGTTCGGGATTTCCGCCCTTTTGAGGTCCCCTGCAGCACGCTTGGGATGTCCGAGAGAGGGATTTGAGCCCGGTCGAGTTTGATGTGAAACTTTCGGCCCCGGAGAGGGGGCGATAGATCGCGCGAGGAGGCGTTTGGGAGGGAGGCCCCGCGTCTTCGGGCCTGAATTAACACACGGCCTCCGCGGGGGTGAGGACTGCCCACGAGAAACCGGACGCTTCATTTCATTGAGGTTCTTTCGATCAGACGAAATGTTGGTTTTGGTGTTAGTTCGATTTGTTGGGCACGCGGACGACAACATCGGTGCATTATTTCTAGATGGAGATCCGAGCCTTGTCGAAGCGGTCCCACCAGAGGCCCCTTTGGTATCATAATTGCGCAAGTTCCGCAACGTTGAATAACGAAGCTTCTGTGCAGTGGCGCCAGAGCTCAGATGATCTGAACTGTATTGTTGGTCATTAGGGTTTCTTGGTCGTTCCGCATCATGGTGTGATTTCATGCGACTCCTATCACGTGAACCGCCTTCCGATTCCTTATCCTCAAATTCCATCGCCGCCTTAATAAATTTGATATGGCCGGCATAACGTATCACCTCTGACTCTGTAAGAGGATGAAGGGGTTCCACTTGCATTGTAGGTGATTCCGTAACGCGTTGGGAAGAGGATGCACTACTATAAGGAATGGCGTCTGAATGGAGGCCCAAACACCGCTTTAACCTCTCAAATCGCTGCTCAACGGCTTGAGAAGTACCGTCTATCTTTTCCATTAGATGACAAAGTGGACTACCTGTAATAGGGGAATGAGATGCCTCTTTGCTCAACATTTCTTTTTTATATTCTTCATAATACTTCAAAACAAGGTCATGTTCATTGGCATTGAGTGAAAAATAGGCATAGGCAGGAACTCCATCATCTTCAAGATTTGAGGTATAACTAACCTCATACCCGCTCGTCTTGCCATTTGGATTTCTCTTCGATCCCATTTTGTTTTCTACACCATTTCTTGTCTTTCCAGTAAAATTAGCATTAGTGCTTCTTTGAGTTGGTAAATTCTTCCTGTTTCTCTGGAAGCCCGACTGCATAACGGGGATACCACCCGTCTTGTGGTAAGTATTGTCGTTATCAGGCGTCATAAAGATGCGCGTATCTCGATTATGTGGGTATTTTTTGAGAACATTATTGTCGTTTACCGAAAAAAGCGCCGCCGTCGCGAAGGCAGGTGGTGACAAAACAGGCGGTCGACGCGGCACCAATTTTTTCGCCTTTCCGGGTACACTTTTCGAAGACGCCATATCCTCATCAGTGAAACCGCTACTGCTTGTTCGGTCGTATTCATGTGTATTTGGATCATCCATATCAAGATCCCTGGTCATGTGCAATAAATAAGCTGCCATATCGGCTCGAGCACGCTCTTGATCGACTTCACCTTGCTTCACTATGGAAAACATACTGGTGTTGGAATTCGAGTGATCGCCACGCTTCTTTTTACTATACTTTCCCTTCTTAGTAGAATTACGTACAATATTAGATAAACCATCACCGTTTTCAGTCTTACCGATTTCCATCTTGGCGTAATCAATCGAGTTGTGAAAATCGCCGGTGATTGAACTGTTGGTATTGATGCTCGCTTCGTTTGGATGACTAATGTTTGAAATAGACGATTCAAGCGGGCTATGAATGGATTCTTCAACCTCGACGGCGTCCTGCGTCGCGTCTTCATGGAATGTGGATCGCACACTGTTTGTATGTGAAGGTTTCGAAGCGAACTGTAGTCTAACGCGATTTCTTCGCATGGTCCCCTCGCCACAAAATCCATTAGGAACCGTTTGCGGTGAAGACATGTTCGTTGTTTGGGGGTTATGATGGATCAATATATTATGAAAGGCTAAAAATTCATAACTAAAACATACGAAAATCGTAAATAATTATAATAATAATGTAACAAAACGGCGAGAAAAGCGCTCTAAAAGAAAGAAAAGATTGAAAAAGGGAAGTCGAAAGATGAAACATGCATTCAGTGTCTGTTTTTTTTTATTTGTTTGTTAGACTTTAAATATTATTAACTGCTCGCTTTTCTCTCTCGCCCCCCTGGAACCCTACAAGTTGAAAATGCCTTATGCACACAAAAAGAGTTGTCGTTCAGCTCATTTCTATGCATTTTTAATTTATGTAGATGATATTGTATTTTACATATGAATATAAACTAAAAAAATACAATACTCGGGAAAAAATATGTGAATATTAATAAGTATTCCTGTTCACAATCAAAAAATACGAAACTATAGGATAATACATAGTAAATTTTATAGATTTGACTCAATATGATCCGTGGTATATAATAAATTTGTTTGTTTTTGTAATAATTTCGTAAAACTAGGGCACTGACATAGAATTAAATAGAAAAAAAAACTATACAAAAGTGCACACAACGCTTGATGTATACCAATGAAATTTAAACTGACTTTCCACACTGAGATTAGTAAGTTCGCAGCAAAAGTCATTAATTTGTATTAGAAATCACAAATATCTGTAGGGCTTCTTTGCAAGCCTAATAATATCCTTCGCGAAGACCATTAAATTCTTTATACGCATCAGCTGTTATCGCAAGGCCAATACCATTTGTGGAGCGCTCGTAAATATTTCGATATTTATCCGCCTCTCGATAATTCACATTCTGACCTTTGAGGTGCTGATTTTCTATACGCGCATAGATGTCGGATGAATATTTGGTATCCTCCGCCATTTTACTCCGGAATGACGAAAGCAACTGTTCCTTATACATCCTCCCAGCGCTGCTGTCGACATCTTTAAAGGAAACGGCACGTGGCTTCATTGCCGTGCGATCATCGCGCAAAATCAAGTCTTTCTTCCATAGCCGCACGAGATTTTCCGTACAGTCGCTATCGGAGGCTAAGGCAAGCGCATCACCCTCGGTCGTATTATTGGAATGAATTGAAAAGGAAGACTCGTACTTCATGGATGGCGCCGGCGTCGAGCTATTGGTACTAAAGGGAAAGCTACTACTCTTAGGAAAACACTCCGAGAACGCCCTCCCAGTGTTTGAACTTGGCTTCCCCATGTACGTACCCTTTCCTTTTTCGTATGAACTCCACATCGGATTCGGCTGCGTTCGTTTCTCCATCCCTCGGCTTTCGATTTGATAACGAAGCGACCCAAGCGAGGCTCGGGCAATCGCGCAGGCCGGTTCAAGCTCCAGCACTCGCCGGTACGTCTTCTCCGCCTCCTCATAGTTTCGCCGCAGATAATGCGCATCGGCGAGGCGAAGATACCCTTTAAACCAATTCGGCCGCAATTCAATCACCTTCTCCGCATCCTTCATTGCCATGGAGGGGCCTGCACACATCACGGACTTCAAGTAGGCCGCACTTCGATTGCAGAAAAAAATTGCGCACTGCTCCGCGTCGGCCTCTGATAGTTGGAGGCCATTGGTATAGCAGCGGATTGCGGAAAAATAGCGTTCATTCTTAAAACACTGGTTCCCAACCTCTTTCCATTCTTGAATTAATGATAAAATGTTATCGGTTTTATTACCACCATTCGAAATCGAAGCGGAGCCTCCCTGATATTGCTTCTGAAGCATGGTTAAGGACTCAATTCGATTGGCTAACTCCGGAGGGAGTTGCGGTTCTTTAGACGGCATCGATCCAAATGTGTGAATTTAAAGCTAAAAGTAAAATTAATGTGTTGTTAAATATAAGACGTACCTTTTACGTGTATTCTCTCCTTATTTCCTTGTTGGGAGTATACCTATTGTATAAAAACAACATCCCGTAAAAGGGAAGAGGTGGAAAAGAAGAATTATAAGTAAAAAAATATACATGAAAGCTCTCAAAGGTGAGTAAATTAAAAAGAATAACGTCATTTCTCTTTAATGACGTTCATCAATATACAAGTCCCGGAGCTAATGAATCTTTTTTAAAAAAAAGGCCTTCTGCCTTTTGATGAGATTGCTTCTATGATTGTCACCCTTTTTGTGACCTTTTCTATAGTAGCGCTAAATACAACTTCATCGTTATTTTTATTCCAAACGCGGATGCTTTCCTTCAAGAGAATCGTCAGAATATCCGGTCCCATTACTTGAAACATCTTCCTCTTCATCAGTGTCATTGCTATCGTCCTCCGAGCTCTCTTCAGAGTCCCCACTGATTGCATCGTTTGAGGATTCATCCGAGTCCTCCACGACCACCTCGCAACCCCCATTGTCCTTGGAATTCAACGCCACAAGCTTGGGAAAAAGCTCAAAGATGATGTCGAAGTGTGAAGGGGTGTCCACCGGGTTATCCACCAGGTCGAGCACTTCAAGCCCGGGAAAAGCAACTGCCAAACACTTGACCTCCGCCATCTCCGCAATACAATTATTCGGCAGCAGCAGACGCCTCAGGGAAGGGCCAACAAATGGGGTGGATTGACCCCCGGGGGTGTCTTTATTCGCCGCGGAACCCTCCTCGCCGTTGGGAGGTTCCCCGTCGCGATTCCCCTGCTCGGCGGCCCCCTCGCGCGGCACCGTCAGGGCCGTCAGGACGGTGATCGCGTTATCGCTCAAATTCAACAACCGCAGCGAAGGGAAACACTCGAGCGGGATGCTTTGCAGTAGCCGTAATTTAGGCTTCAGAAAGACCAGGCTGAGGTGAACGAGGTTGGAAAAGGGGGTGATGAGGGTGGGCCACAGTGGGACCCCACTGAGGGCGATATCGGTGACCTCCGTTGGCTGAAGCTCGCCCACCTGCTTCTGAACGCGAAGCGCCGCCGTCTTTTTGAGAATCTCCATCAATGCAATGTAAGCTGTGGTTAATGGGGATGTCACAGTGATTGCGAGGTCCACGGATATGAAAAACACCCTTCTTCTTATTCTTACACCAATAAGAAGAAAGAAAAGATTGGAATAAAAACAAGGCTGAAAAGCCAACAAAGTAAAGGCTTCAAAGTTTTACGTCACTCCCATCCTCCCCTCCCCTCCCC